CCCCCCCCCCCCCCCCAAAAATAAAAATACAATAAAATAAAAGGAAGTGTAAGAAACCCTGACTTTTCTTTGGAAGTGTGTATGGTATTATAATTAGACAAAAGTATGTTTTAACTTACCATAGTCTATGTTTTCCATCAGTGACAGTCCAGTGTACCAAGGATGGACGGTTCATTGTTGTTGTGGCCAAAGACGTCACTCAACCCAACATTGACTTGGAATCAATCTCACTTTTGGGTGGAGGTGAAGGCTGTAAACAAGTTGACTCAAATTCAGCTTTTGCCATCTACTTTTTTCCTGTTACTGCCTGCGGCACTGTTGTCTTGGTAATATTGCAATTAGCATCAACTTCTCAATCAGTGAGGTAATTTTCATCAATCTCTAACCCTCCTCCCCAAACCACCTCTTCAAACTTTTGCAGGAGGAGACTGATGCTATAATCTATAAAAACACAATGATGTCTTCGTTTGAAGTAGGGGTTGGGCCTTCTGGTTCCATTACCAGGGACAGCAGCTACCAGTGGGTGAACATTAGTAGATTGATAATCTTTCGAAGTACAAGAATGGACTAAACAACATAACATCACATCTCTTTTTTCAGGTTGATCTTCCAGTGTAAGTACCATGGTACTTCAGTTGAAGGCCTGGTTGTTGAGACGGCCCTTCCAAGTCCTCCTCTACCAATTGCTGTTACTGGACCCACCACTGTCAGAATAAGGCTGGCTAATGGCCAGTGCACGGCCAAGGGTTGTAATGAAGGTCAGTACATCCCAGCCAAGCAGATATGATGTGTTTGTTAATCGTTTCACAATGTTTGATGTCATAATAACTGATATCTTTGGTCCCATAGTGGAGGCTGCGTACACCTCCTTCTATGCTGACACAGACTATCCTGTGACCAAAGTCCTGAGGGATCCAGTTTATGTGGAAGTTCAGCTCCTTGAAAAGACAGATCCTGTACTTGTTCTGACTCTTGGACGCTGTTGGGCAACCGCAAGCCCCGAGCCACACAGCCTCCCCCAATGGGACATTCTGGTTAATGGGTAACTAAAACACCTGTTTACACTAATGTATTTATCGTGATATATTGATTTATTTTTGTTTTAAATATTTATCACTGTCAGGTTTATTTATTGTCAAAATTATTTAGACGTTTTACAAATTGAAGTGATTAATATATACTATACTATAGTTATATATTAATATATAATACTATAATACCTTTTAGAAATTTAAATGAGCCAAACATTTTAAAACTGATGAATACACTTGCCACTTATTTTTAGTGATAAGTCATAAAATTACGTTAAATGTTGCTCATATTTTACACAGGAGAGTGCCATTTATCATATTAACATGGTTTAATGGTATCTATAATTTATCATTTTGACTGTTCTTCATTTAGATGTCCATATGCAGATGATCGTTACCTCTCCTCACTGGTTCCAGTGGATGCCTCCTCTGGTCTGGCTTTACCAACACATTACCGACGATTCATTTTCAAAATGTTTACCTTTGTAAATCCTGATATGGTACCCCAACAGGGCACGGTAAGGAATGCATACAGTTACCATATCTGCAATAATTATGTTTCAAATTTAATATATTTTCACATTTTTTTATTTCAAAAATGTTTTTCCTTTTCAGATGTACATTCACTGCAGCACGTCGGTGTGCGTGTCAGGACAGGGTGTGAGCTGTGAACCATCATGTGCCAAAAAAGAAAGTAAGTAAATGATTCCTGATCTGTAAAAAATAAAAAATAAATAGAAAAAAATAATCTGAAGCAAAAAGTTTTTTGAATGTGACCATGACTGTATGTCTGCTTGCAGAGAGAGACACAAAGGCCGTGGAAGAGAAGAAGGATGAACCGAAGGTCGTGGTTTCATCAAGAGAAGTGATCATGGTTGCTGCTTCCAAATCGTAAACTGTGACCAGCTCGCCTGAAAACATTCAGAATAAACATTTGGAACCTTTACTTATTTAATGGTTAGTGGTATCAAATGAAAAAGTCACTGTATGTACTTGTATTTGCAGAACAACCAAGTGTGGTGCAGAAAGACTCTGTGGTTAGAGAGGGGTAACCGTTTTGTTTCATAAATTTTTGTTACATTTCTATTAGTCTTAAACAATAAAATCATCTACAATTAAGAGATTCAAGTAAACAGTTTAAATCAGTACAATGTAATGAACTTTATATTTGTTTCATTATGTGCTTCTTCTTTATAATTCATTTTTCAGAAACACAGGAAGGACAAATGTTATAACTGTATCTTAGAACCAGAAGTTACAGCACTTAATAATTCTGTCACACACAAGCAAAACAAACTGTGTTCAAAATGCTGCTACATTTCAAAAAGGGTATGAAATGAAAACTGTGTACCATGAACAGTACTCAGAATGTTTGTAAGTAATCAGTGTTATCAACAATTAAAAGAAATGTGTACCAGTAAGGAAGTCCAATCTATGTGAAATGTATGTCAGTAACTTCTAATGAATAAAGATTGATTATGTTTACAAATGTTTTCTGTAAGCAGACATTAAAATTGTAAATACAATTCTTTCCCATTCACGTATTACTGGTACTTCTCGTAGCATTTACTCTTTGTTTTTATTTTCAATTCATATTAGCATTTAGTCTATGAAATTGAATATTTCCAAGTGCAGTACAGAAAACCAGTCATTTGAAGTATCATGATGACAAAATAAAACATTAATTCAGAATTTGAAGTGGCATAAAACATTTAATACGCAGTGCGCACAAAATATGTCTTTATAAGTTATATTTTGAAATATTAAACTCATGTTGCCAAGAAGCAGACAGACAAGGGGCTTTTCAAAAACGATAATCAGGTCTTTATGGAACGCCATCTGTGCCATAAACACATCTTTTACTTTTTTCCTCCATGTGTTGTCCATGTTTGTGCATAAACATGCAGTTTTTTGCTTTTTAAATATTCTACTATTTTTCACATTTTAACAACACATAACATGTTGTTTATACACACGCAATGAAGACAGTATGTGACAGAGACAAAAAACGTCATATATTATATGGCCTGGATGGCTTTTACTCTTGAAGTAGTGACATGTCAGAGCCAGACGCTTTAAAGTTGAACAACCAGAGCCTTCGCTACAAAAGTGCTGAAAGTCACTGCCAGTGGTGAGGTTTGAGCAGAAAACCATGTTTGTATTCTCCTAACATAAACTTTTAATAAGCAAACTGAAAAAGATTTAAAAATTATTAAAACAGTATGTGAGTAAAGCCAAAGGCTGCAGGTGATTACTAATTTCTGTCCTTCATAAGGTACTCTTTGGATTAGCATGGGCCAAAATGAAATTCTGACTGCATGATAACCATGATAACCATGAGAAACCATGTTTCTACTGTAACAATACAACAATTAAAAAATGAACCATATGATAAAGTTGGTTTTATTTAAAAACTAAAATAGTGTAGTGGCCAAAATTTCTTATTTATACTAAAACCTTTTTAAATGTTTTTTTTGTTTCATTTGTTTGTGTAACATTTTTTTCAGAGAAACTTAGTTTTGAGTTGGAATGCCTACAACTGTTGTGACTAGAATTAAGACAATGACTGAAAACGTGAAGTTTTGACCATTTTTTTTAGCTAAGAGGTAAACGTATGATTGTTACAACTCTCTCTCTCGCTCTCTCTTGAGGAGAGCTCCACATTTCAAAGACTGTTGGAACCACTATTTGTCCATTAATTCTCTCCAGCTGTTAATTATGGAGTCCTTAGCTTAACTATCAAGTAAATAACTCAGACAAGCGTGACAACAGCTATTGAACCCCGAGTGTTGAACAGCAGCAACATAAGTTTTTGAGCAAAACAGTAGCATTTTCTGAGTTTCGTCTGATTGTGTATACGACTACAGGGGTAGTTTTCTCTGACACCAAAGGTTTTTAAATCCAGGGCTCAGAGTGGTTGTTCAGGCTGACGGGTGCAAAACAGCAGAGGGCTGCTTGTGCTTTTCAACACACAGGAACAGTCCAACCTCACCCTCAATTCAAATGAATGTTCATTTGTTCATCCACTATTTTTGGTGTAACTGCTTTTAGATTGAAGTGTCGTTGAAATATAAAAATCACAGTGCCAGCACGTGACCATGGAAACTACCATGGATTCAACGAGCACAGCATGAGCCTGATTTATAGTCAATGAGAAAGGCCAGTCTTTTGTCTTGACATGGTTGTGTGACAACAATTGTGTAGTTTTCTAGTTTTACCACCCACTGACACACAGTCTCAGTCTTATACATGCATACAATATTACTCTGTATGCTGTTTAGTATGCTGTTCAGTGTCATGAGGACTGTGATCAGTTATACATCAGGGAAACTAAACAGCTACTGACCAAAAGGATGGTCCAGCACAGAAGATCAACATCATCAGGCCAAGACTCTGTGGTCTACACACATCTGCAGGCCAGCGGTATGTGTTTCAAACACATACTTTTGCAATTTTGCACAAAACTGTGTATACTTTTTTTTTTTTAGGTTCTTTTCAAATCAGATCTCAACATGAGATAATCTTAAACACTGACATGAGAGGTAGATATACATTTCTTCAAGAAATGCTAGGCCTTTAAATATTTTTTAAAGTTCTTACATGATTCTTCGTTCCCCCCCCCCCCCCCGAGTTTAGTAAGTCTAATAAAAAGAACAAGTTCTGAAAATATATGCAAATTCCGAGTTGCAAGTCATGTTTACATGAAACTACAGTGATGTGGATAATTCACATTCATACAGCATTTATGCCTTGCTCAGGATTTTTAAAGTGCTTTACAGTGAGTAAAGCACTTTTTAAATGATATACAGTATATCAGTCGTATATTTCAAGTGTATTTTATTTACAATCACGCACGATGAACATAGTATGACAACACATTATTCACTATGTTATCAAAGGACACAAACATTTTGAGTAGCCGAGCTGGGGATTGACCTTTCAACCTTTAATTTGGAGGACAAAAAATCTGTTTGAGCCAGAGCTGCTGTTCTGAAACATTTGATTTGATTTTTATCAATTCCTTCCAGACATGTCAAAACCATTGCACAGGGTGTAACAACAACACCCATATGAATCTGTACATCCATCCATACACATTTGAGCATACACAACCCTTTGCAAAACAAACCCACATCAGCAAATGCATTTGCTTCGACTGAATGCACACAAAAATAAATCTGTAAAATAAGTATATACCCAATGTGCACACACCCATATACAGACCCTTTCCAAAAAATTAGAATATCATGGAAAAGTTGTTTAACTTCCATAATTCCATTCAAAAAGTTAATCTTTAATAGATGATAGATTCAGGGTCCACAATTTAAATGATTTCAAGTATTTATTTTTACATAATTTGGGCTTCCAGCTCATGAAACCCACAAAAACGGGATAATAAAAAAAAAAAAAAAAAATAGAATACTGTGAAGACATCAGCCCACACTACTCAGTTTTTGCAGAAAAAAAAAAAAAAAAAGACAAATTAGGATCATAACAAATCAAAATATGGTACTTTCAAAACAATATGTCAATCTTCAATACTTTGTTGGGAATCCCTTTGCCTTAATCGCTGCAACGAGGCAATCAGCCTGTGGCATTGACTGGGAGTTATGGAAGCCCAGATTTCCTTGATGCTTGTTGTCAGCTCTTCTTTGTTGTTGGGTCTGGTGCCCCTCATTTTCCTCTTGATAATACCCCATAGATTCTCAATGGGTTCAGGTCCGGTGAGTTGGCTGGCCAGTCAAACACTGTGGCATGGGCATCAAACCAGGTTCTGGTGCTTCTGGTGACGGGCAGGGGCCAGGTCCTGCTGGAAGATGAAATCTGCATCTCCATACAGATCCTCAGCAGAAGGAATCATGAAGTCCTCTAAAACATTCTTCTAGACTGTTGCAGTGACCTTGGATTTAAGAAAGCAGAGTTTACCAACACCTGCACCGGACATTGCACCCCAAATCATGACTGACTGTGGATATTTCACACTGGACCTCAAGCAGTATGAGTTCTGTCCCTCACCCTGCTTCCTCCAAACCCTTGGATCTTGATTTCCGAACAAAAGGCACACTTTACTTTCATCGGAAAAGAGGACCGGTGTACCTGACAGTTGTAGCCCATCTCCCGGATGCGTCTGAATGTGGTGGTTTTTGAAGCTGTGACTCCCACCTCATTCCACTCTTCCTGGATCTCTGCCAGATTCTGGAATCTTCTCTGTTTGATAATCTGCTGAAGCCCACGGTCATCTCTTTTGCTGGTGCATCTTCTCCTGCCACATTTTGCCCTTCCACTAGACTTTCCACTGATATGCTTGGACACAGCACTCTGTGAACAGTCAGCCTCCTTAACTATGAACTTTTGTGGCTTACCCATCCTATGGAGCATATCAATGATGGTCTTCTGGCCAGCTGTTATGTCTGCAGTCTTCCCCATATTGAACCGAACTGAGACAATTGAACCAAACTGAAGCAATTTAATGACACCTGAGGAAACATGTGCAGGTGCTTTGAGTTTAGTAGATGATTAGTGTGTCACACTCAGTTAAAAACATTCATGCCCTGCAAAATTTGGGCTGATTTCTCCACAGTATTCTAATTTTTTGAATTCCTGTTTTTGTGGGTTTCATGAGCTGGAAGCCCAAATTATGTAAAAATAAACAAATAAATACTTGACATCATTTAAATTGTGGGCCCTGAATCTATCATCTATTAAAGATTAACGTTTTGAATGGAATTATGGAAGTTAAACAACTTTTCCATGATATTCTAATGTTTTGTAAAGAGACTGTACATGCACACACACAAATCCCATTTAACATGTCTGAAAACGTGACAAACAACAAACTTTTTTAAAATTATCATGCTTGTATATAGATAGGAAAATGAACTATAAACTTTATTTATGTATCATTTTTTAAACAAAAGACATTAAAAAATAAAATAATAAACGATGTGATACAAAATGCAGCAAAAAAAAAAAAAAAAACATGAATTATGTGCATCAGAAAACTAAGAATCTATGCCCTGATTGGACAAATAATAGTTATTGTTTTAAATCAATTTCTGTTTCCTTTAAAGTAAGCACTAAGAGAGCGTTGGCAAATATCTTATTTAACTTCATTTAAAAAAAAAAATACCAGAGCAGGAAGGTACATTTGTCTAATATGATTATAATAGATAAAGGAAAAGGGTATTAATTGCATAAACATTTAGAACTGCATATTTATTAGGACAGCTATCAGTCTCCTTATATCTGATGGTTTTTACATTTATCAAAACTGAGTGGGATTTGTGCACAAAAATACAAAATTGGTTATAGCAAGACAGTTATTGTTCATATTAGTTTTAAGGATATAAATAGTTGAGGACAGTCAGTGGAGTGCAAGTTTTAAAAACTAAGATCTAAAAATCAAAAACAAATAGTATCACAGAAAGTCAGAAACTGCAGCTTAATTAATCACATCAACTGATTTATAGCGAAGATTAAATTTATAAATGGCTGGGATAATGAACATGTTAAAACAAAATAAAATATTTTGACAAGAAAATTGTGTTGCAAACTGATTGCTTGAACCTCGCATCCCTAAATGAATCCACAAAAAATGGTAAAGTACCATTCCTATCCTTCTACAATTTTGATCTTGCTCAAATATTGTACCTGTTGGCTTTCAGCTGAAATTATTGAAAATTTTTAGACATCTGTGTTTTTAATCACATCATGCAACAATACATTGAGAAATACTTCCTGAAAGACTTTAGAAGTCCTACAAGATTTACAGATATATTTACCTCAATGTTTGCCACTTTTAATGTAGAAGGAAAATCGATGAGCTTGTCTTATACAAGTTCAAGCAAAAATAAACATCAAATGACAGATAAAACGTGATGTTACAAAGAGAGGCTTTTGTGACCTAAATTTTGGACTCAGTAAATACCTAAATGTCAAACTGCCATTCAAAACAGTGGCCTGATCTGAACAAACACATTTCTGGTGCCAGCCCTATTACTGAATTTGTTAGGAGGCAGAAATCATTCACTTGAATGAAGTGAAAAACATTATTTTCCCCTGTATTTAAATGTCTGGTAGTTACTTTGCCTTAGAGGTGGAGTTTGTGAGGCATTGGCCTTGGTAAGACATAAATGCAGCAGCACACACAAATGGAACATTTTGGGACGGACCAGGCTGGACAGCTGTGAGATCATGGCGAATCACTGGAGTGTCACTTATTTTACAGCGTTGGTTCTGCTATGCTGCTTAACAGAGAAAAAAGCAGAGACTCAAGCAGAGCCAAAGTCTTTTTACCCTTGGCCGCCGATGTCTTTGAATCCTCAGAAGTCTCAAAACCCTCAGGATCAGGATGTTTTAAGGCCACAGGACAATCAGCCTCAAACACCTTCAGAGTGCCCACATTCTCAAAAAAAGGTTCAATTCCCCCAGCTTCCTCAGTACCCTCAAACTCCTCAGTACCCTCAACCTCCTCAGAGCCCTCAAATGCCATCGAAGCCTCAATACCCTGAACCTCAACCTCCTCAGAACCCTCAGATGCTGTCAAGGCTTCAGTATCCCCAGACTCCTCAGAGCCTTCAAATTCCTCAAAACTCTCAACCACCCTCAAAGCCTCAATACCCTCTTCCTCCTCAGTACCCTCAAATTCCACAGATTCCTCAGATACCATCAAAACCTCAGTACCCCCAACCTCCACAAAACCCCCAAACACCTTCAAAGCCTCAGTACCCTCCACCTTCTCAGAACCCTCAACTTCCTCAAATGCCATCAAAACCTCAGTACCCTCAGTCTCAGCAGTACCCTCAGCTCACTCTAACACCTTCAAAGACTCAGCTTCCACAGTATCCTCAACTGCTCCAGAAACCTCAATCTCCTCAGATTCCTCAACCACCTTCAAATCCTCAGTATCCTCAACTGCCACAGAACCCACAGATGCCAGCAAAACCTCA